AGAAAAAAAAAAAGAGAGAAGACTCAAATCAATGCAAACAGAAAAAAGAAAAAAAAAAGAAAAAAAGAAAAAAGAAAAAAAAAAGGTGAAATCACAATGGACATTACCAAAATAGAAAAAACATCATTAACATTACATAATAAATCTGTATGCTAACACAGTGGAGAATTCAAAAGAAATTTATTCCTAGATATATATGAATTATCAAAAATGAGCCAGGAATATTAAAAAGCTCTGAATAATCTAGTAACAGTCAATGAAATTAAAGCAGTAATAAATAACTGACCAAAAAAACCAAAAAACCAAAAAACAAAAAACTAACTAAAAAAGCCCATACCAGATGGGTTCAGTGTTGAATTCTACAAAAACATAAGGGAAATTCTAACATCAATTCTCCTCAAGCTTTTTAATGAAATTGAAATAGAGTACTTTCAAGTCTTTCCAGGGAGCTACCATTACTGTGATTCTAAAATCAGACAAAGATCCAACCAAAAAAAGAACATGGACCAATCTCTTTAATGAATATAGATGCAAAAATCTTCAACAAGATACTGGCAAACAGAACGCAATGAATTATCACAAAGATCCTATATCATGACCAAAAGGTCTTCATTCCAAAGATACAGGGATGGTGCAACATATACAAATCAATAAATGTAATACATTGCATAAATAGAAACGGGTGAAAATTACATTATTATTTCAACACACAAAAAAAGCCTTAGACAAAAAACCCAACAACCTTTAATGATAAAAATACTGAAGATAATAGATGTAGAGGGACTTTATTTCAATCTGATAAAAGCCAATTATGACAAAACCTACTTCCAACATCATATTAAACGGGGAAAAATAGACACCTTTCCCTCTAAAATAAGGAATATAAGGATGTCTTCTATCACTACTCCTATTCAATACAGTATATACTTGATAGCAAGATCAATTAGGCAAGAAAATGAAATAAAAGGGATATAACAGGAAAGGAAAAAGTCATTATCATTATCTGCAGATGACATCTCTATAAAGATCTCAAATAATTCACTTAAAAACTCTCAGAATATAATCAAATTCAGTAATGTAGCAGGATGCAAAATCAACACACAAAAATTAACAGCATTTCTGTACACTAATAATAAACTCACTGAGAAAGAATTAGGGAAAAAAATACCATTCACAATGGCACTAAGGAAAATTAAATACTTAAGAATTAATCTAACTAAGGAAGTAAAATACCTCTACAACAAAAACTACAGTACTCTGAAAAAGGAAATTGAAGAGGACATCAGACAATGGAAAGCTATCCCCTATGCTTTGATAAGCAGAAGCAATATAGTCATAATGGTCATACTTTCAAAATTTATGTACAGATCTAACACAATCCCAATAAAAATTCCAACAGCATTTTTCACAGAACTAGAGACAACAATCCTAGAATATATATATATATATGGAACCAGAAGAATCCCAGAGTAACAAAAGCAATTTTGGGTAGAAAAGAGCAAGGAGGAGGCATCACATACAATTCCACATTTGAAATTATATTAAAGCTTTGTGATAAATACAGCATGGTTCTGGCACAAAGGTAATCAAGAGAAGAATGAAACAGAATCAAGGATGCAGAAACAACCCTAAGTAGACCGAACTATTTCATCTTTGCCAGAACAGCCAAAAGCACACAATGGAGGAAAGATAACCTCTTTAATAAAAGGTATTGGGAAAACTAGCCATCCACATTCAGAGGAATGAATCTAGATATATATTTCTCACCATGTACTAAACTAAAATCAAAATTGATCAAAGAAATAAATGTTAAACCAGAAACAACCTACTGGAAAACAGGTAAAACTCTTGAAGTCATAGGTGTAGGCAAGGCAAGGACTTTTGGAACAGAACCCTGTTGCACAGGAAGTAGTACCAAGAATCAAGAAATAGTGTCATATCAAACTAAAAAGATTTTCCCCAGCAAAAGAAACAACCAAAGAGTGAATTGACAACCTATAAAATGTGAAAAAAAAATTTTTGCTAGCAATTCTTCAGACAGGACTTATTATCTAGATTATATAAAGAACTCAAAAATATCAAGGCCCCTTAAAATAAAAGACCCAATAAAAAATGGGCAAGTGACATGAATAGACATTTCACAGAGGAAGTACATGAAGAAATGCTCAACACTGCTGGCCATTAGAGAAATACAAACTAAAACAACACTGAAATTCCATCTTACCCCACAGAGAATAGCTATCATCAAGAAATCAAATAATAACAAATGCTGGAGGGGCTGTGGGAAAAAGGAACCTACCTACACTGTTGAGATTGGAATGTAAACTAACACAACCACTATGGAAATTGGAGAGTCCCCAAAAACTAAAACCAAGGCCAGGGATTTGGCTCAGTGGTTCAACTGCCTGCCTTACAAACGCAAGTGCAAGGGCCCAAGTTTGATCCCAAAACAAACACCAGAAATTCCATTTGACCCAGTTATTCTTCTTCCAGGTCTCTTCCTAAAAGAGTTAAAGACAGCATATGATAGAGATATATGTGTATCCATGTTTATAGCAGCACAATTCATAATAGTTAAATCTTGGTTGCAGCCCCTATATCCATCAACAGATGAATAGATAAAGAAAATGTGGTATTCGCAAAACATAGGGTATTACTCTGCCATAAAGGGATAGACCTGAATCATTTGTAGGAAAATAGATGAACCTTGAGACCATAGTATTAAATAAAATAAATCAGACACACAAGCTTAAGTACTACATCTTTTAAAATATGGAAACCCGGAGTAAAAATAAAGAGCAAAATAAAGGACAGATAATAGGAAGTAGGGAGATACATCTTCTTAGCAGGGTAGAGGATCAAGAGACGGAGGGAGACAAGGGGTAAGGGATGAAAAAAAGGAATTGAGATGTGTTAAATACATGTACCAACTGCACACAAGGAATGTAAACATCATGTACTACAAACATATTCCACCCCCCAAAAAAACCCGAAAACGGGGATCAAGGTATGGGGGGGTAGGGAGGGGAAAATGGAAATGGGGTGAACAAAAGGAATGGAGATGTGTTATGTACATGTACCAACTTCCCAGGAGTATTTTAAGTACAGTATGGTATACAAGTGTGGCATTTTCACTAGCATCTCCCTTGGGTGGATTGCTCCAAATTAGCAAAATCCCACTATCAGTGAACATCACAGGTTCTACCAGGTACCCCTTTCTACACAACGACTGTCTTTGGGTTCTGCTGATGGTTTTATCTTGTCCCATTAGGCCTAGGCATGGAAATGACACCCCACTGTTGCTTGTTTTGGGTGTCTACATCATTGTTTGGTTTCTCTGAAACTTTCTTTTTTTTAATTGAGTTTAATGGTACATTTTAGATGTACAGTACAGCTACATTCATTATTGGGATCTTGTACCTTTACATGACAGGTCTTGGTTCTCATTTTTTCCCCTTACCCCTGCCCGCCCTTCACTCCCTCCTCCCCTCTCCCTTTACAAACACTTCATTTCCATTTTTTCATTTTCTCATATTTTTTTCTTTTCTCTTATTACCTTTCCCCTACCCTTCCCACTTTCTCTACACTTTTAGTCCTTTTCTTCCTATTTCACATTGTCAATTATATCATTAGGATCTTATGTACTATTATAGCTTTTCACATCAGAGAAACTATTTGGTATTTACACATGTGTGACTTGCTTATTTCACTTAAGAGTATATCCTCAATATGTATACATTTTCCTATGAATGAATCTAATTTCTCATTCTTCATGGCTGAGCAGTATTCTATTTTATAGAAAAACCACATCTTCTTTGTCCAGTTCTCTGAAACTTTCAAGTCTTTGCAAACTCTTTACAGATACCTAGTTTGAGGTTGCTTATCTGTTTGCTACAGTTCTAGGGATTTGTCCTATACATATATAATGGCATGTATATAGGATGATTTGTTTTAACAGAATAACTTCTAATATATACAAAGTGTTGGAAATATAATGTCAACAGGGGACTGCAAAATAACAGTATGACTATACTTAGAATATTATGCAGTTATAAAAAATGAATCATTAGATACATCTATGGGATAATCTCAAATATATTATTAAGTAGAAAAAGCAAGGTACCAAATGATGAAGTACTGTGTGCTCTGTTTGAGTGAAAAAAAATGTATATGCATTTGTATACACAGAGAGAGTGAGTCTTTGGTATTTCCAAGAAAATAATACTAGCTACTCCTGGGGAAAACTAGGTAGTAATAAACTTTTTATTATTTATTCTTTTATTTTTCTGGTTCACATGAATGGATTATATCCATGGTACAGGGTTAACTGAGAACCTTAGAGAAATAAGGACTAAGGAAGAATTAGTGGAATTACTAAAGGAAACACTGGAAAATGATGGAAAAAGCCAGCATATTATAAAACTGCTGAAAAGTGCCAACCAGTGAAATTCTTGAATAATTTAATTTCTTAACTTGATATTTTTATGGAATTTTTTTCCTACAGTATAAATTACACAGTTACTTCTTATTCAGAATTACATGCACAAAATCATACATGATAAAAATTTATTTTAAACATGATCACTTTATTATTAAAAGGTGCTTTGGTTCCTTTATCTAGAGGGTTTATTGGTATCGCTAAAGTAGCAGCATGACTGGCCCATGATCTTGGTTTGCATAAAGACGTGACTTATTAAAGGAAATGGGGCATGAGAATACTGTCAGGAAATCAGTGAAGAAGTGGGGAGAAAACTGCTAGAAGTATTTATTTATTTGGGTACCAGGGATCAAACTCAGGACCTTCTGCTTGTGAGGCAGGTGGCAGAACCACTGAGCTAAATCCCCAGGCCTAGAAATACTCATTTAACGAATAGTTAAATCATTTTTATGTTACTCAAAAGTGTAAAACATAGAAAGGCACTTTTAAAAGGTGGTTTTCGTACTCCTGACACAGGAACACCTATTAAAAAGTTCTACAAGACATAGGATAGTTCACTCACCCTTCCTGGAACTGTGCTTGGGCAGATTCCTCAGCAACAAGAGTCTCGTACTCCTCTGCAGCAAACCTGTCCCAGTCTGAGGGCTCAGGCCCATCATTCTCAACATCCTGATTACAAAGAGGACAGGCATAGGAAACCAGTCAGCAAAGACAAAGAACTGGAGTAGGTCATCACAAACATACACTGCTGACAAAACCTACTGAAAGTGCTTCAACATGTTAAAAGAGGTGCTAAGGTACACTGCTGTGGGTGATTTCCTACACTTCAAATCACAAACTTAAAACAAAGTGTTTTGCAGCTAGATTTTTCCTATGTCCAGAGACTTTCTTTGTATTGGGGGTCAAACCCTGAGGTTCTTTACCTTTGAGCTACATTCCCCGCCCACTTTTTAATTTTTATTTATATTTTTGTACCAGGGATTGAACTCAGGTCCTTGTGCTTGTGAGGCAGGCAGCAGAACTACTGAGTTAAGTCCCCAGCCCTTTATCTTTATTTTTAAATTGTGAGACAAGTATTTTCATATACTCAGTATCTCTTCAATACAGTGTTGAGAATTTATTGAACACATTCTATTATTTTTCACATATCTGAACAAATATAGATTAATTGCTACTTCATATAAAGTAAAAATTAAAAGCAAAATATAAAACAAAAATAAATGAAGGGTATAAAGGCTATATATTTTCATACCTTTAAACATACGGGCAGTGCCTTGGATTATAAGTTCCAGGCAAAATGTTCTTCCAAGTTGAGAATAAGTATGGTCCTAGGCCTTAGGGTTATGCCTAGAAATATTGAATCATAGGCCACACAATGGTTTCTTGCTGTATTTAATCAATTTTAAGGCCCACCCCTCCCTTTAATATACCTGGAATTGCCATGCATTTCAGACTTTCAATTGTCAGGGATGTATGTCTATCTACCTATCTATCTTTTTTTGGCTTAGAGATATACAAAATAATGGAGCCTGTTTTATTTAAGGAAATGTAGGTGGGTACCTGTTTGTAATCCCAGCACTCAGGAGGCTGAGGAAGGAAGATCATTGTGAGTTTGAGAGCAGCATGGGCTACATATTCAGTTCAAGGCAAGGCCGGCCTGAACTACGTGAAGAAACCATATCAAAAAATCAAGTATTTTTAAAAAAATGAAATATAATGTTAAATTGGGCGTGGTGGTGCACGCCTCTAATCCTAGCACTTGGGAGGCTGAGGCAGGAGGATCGCTATGAGTTTGAGATCAGTCTGGACTACATAGTGAGTTTCAGGTCAGTCTCGACTACATAGTGAGACCCTGTCTCAAAAAAAAAAAAAAAAAAAGGAAGAAATATAATATTGACTTTAACCGGAAATAATCTACCTTGAAATTCCTCGAGGTCAGCTGCAGAGCACTTGTTCTTAGGAAGTTACCATCACATTCTTACTGTTATTTAGGTCAAACAATTTTGCAACATGTGGAAGAAAAAGAGAACACTGCAAAAGCTTCTTGAAGTTGTCCTGTCACTCAAGTGAAATAGTTCCATCTTAACAACATAATTTTTAAACTAGGGATTGGAAGTAGCAAGTAGTAATACTGTTTAGGTTTAGACATGGATATTTAAAATTTTTTTTTCTCAGTACCAGGGATTAAACTCAAGACCTTGTACTTATAGGTGGGTGTGGTACTGCTGAACTACATCCCTGGCCCCATTTTTGGTTTTTTGAGACAAGGTCTTGCTATGTAGCCCATGCTAGCCTTGAACTCATGGCGATCCCCCTGCCTCAGCCTCTGGTGCACCTCCATTACCAGCTGGACGTGGAATATGTTTCCAGGGTTTACTGGAGGTCTACAGGATATCCTTTTTTTTTGTGTGTGTGTGTGGGAAAGGGCGCTTATCTCTATTTAGATGTAGAACAGTATTTAAAACTGAAGCCCCTATATGGCAACATTAACATCTGAAAAGGTGTTCTATTACCTGAAGGTATCTATCACAAAGAGCTTTTAGTTTTTCCTGCTGTAAAGTTATTTACTACAGAATCCTGAAAATGCATGGTGCAATTAAGTCAAGACCAATATAGTTTCCAATACAGATGTACCTACTTGTATATTTTAAAAAGGACACTTTTTTTTTTGAGATGATGTATAGCACAGGTTGGCCTTAAACTCATGGGATCCTGACTCAGCTTCCTAAGTGCTGGGATAACAGGTGTGGGTCACCCACCATGCCTAGTGAAGGACAAACTTTTTGAAATAAGTTTCTAATGTGTATGTAAGGACAGTCTACAAAGTCCACTCAGCATAAAGTACTCAGGCTTATGCAGTTTATTTCAAGATTAGTTGTGGGGGACAAACAAGCTCTCAGTCTGTTACTCTCACTTCATTCATAGTCTGTTGGTCTCTTTCTCTCTGAGTCAAATCTAGGGTTTTGTTATCTCTTTACATACTAAGTAAGATTCCCAGAGAACATTTTAATTTGTGTCACCCATCCCAGTATTGCAGTTCTTAAAGTTAAACTTATTCTGGTACCTTCTGGATTGCGAAGGGATCTCTCTGTTCATGGTCCAAGTATTTTTCCAAATTAAAGAAAGTGTCATAGAAGATGTGAGCCATTCGGCACCTCTTGAGATCTCGTAGAGTTATTTTGCCTATATAAAAACATATATACCTGATAAATTTTATTTACAACTGTTTTGGCAAGAGGAAAACACTTTCACTGGTATCTAAAAAACATGTCTATCTTTATTAATAAGGAGCCCACGGTAAAAATCAAGATAAAATTCACATAATATAAAATTCACCATTTTAAGCTAAAATTCAGTGGCTTTTAGTATGTTTGTGATGTCATACAAACATTACAATGATCTAATTCCAAACATTATTATCCCCAAAGGAAGCTCTGTATCCACCAAGCATTTCACCTCAACCCCCAGCTTGTGGCAATCACTAATCTGTTTTGTCTCTAAGGAAAAACTCAGTTCCTTCAACAGTAGATTTTCCACCATTGCTGGTTTTAAACCAATAGTCGAGAAAAAACTCTTCTGCACTAGGAAAGCCTATAAGGAAAACTCTAGAAAATAATATAGGGCAAGGATTATGTGCCCCACTCTATTTCAAAGGTGAAAAGTGAAAACTGCTGTTCACTTATTCTCACCATCACAGGTTGGCTTCACCAAGTCAAGCATCTGGCACAGCAGATCATGAAATGGCAAGGGCTCAATACCCATGGCTTCCATCCGTTCACACTGTTCCTCATAGAAGTACTCCAGCTCATACATGGAGAGCACTCCATCTCCATCCACATCCATGCAGCGGAACCAGTACTCAATGCTAGAAGATAAGGGTTCTCATTAGCACTGTCCTGGTAAAGATCCTTTATTCATCCAGATGTGTCACTGCCCACGTTTCTTTTTGAATACATTTACATATATGTACCAAAATTATTTTTTTTGGTACTGCAGAATGAACTCGGGACTTTGTGCTTGCAAGGCAGGTGGCGACAACAGAGCTAAATCTCCAGCCCATAAATTAGACATAGTTTCACTCTTCTTTTATTTTCTCAACCTAGAATCAACCACTTTCAACATCTGACTATTTTTCTTTTTCTCTAAATATTTTCAGGTAACACTCTTTATTTATTTATTTATTTTTCTAAGAACTACACTGACGTCACACTATGAAACAGATTTTAAGTCTTTTACTACTTCCATCCACTTTACCTGCATGATCTTCCCATCTCTTAATATAAACTGCCCAAGGTTTAGATTTTATGACTTTACATTTTTTTCTTTTAACAGTTCTGTGCTTTGTTTTTCATATACCTCCTGTACTTGCTACTAATTCAACTACCAAATATCTGCAGTTGGTTAAGTCCACACAGTCCCATCAGGTATCTAGTGACTGCATTTTGCTGATGAACTTTTCCTTGGTTTCCTTTGACCTACTCTACTGTGGTCTGCTCAGTCTCTGTATGTCTGGTAAACAATTCCATCCTAGGGATCCCTTTCATCTTTCTCCTATTTATTTATTTTTTCCTGTACCAGGATCGAACTCAGGACCTTGTGCTTATGAGGCAGGCGGCAACACTACTGAGCTAAACCTCTGGCCCTTTCTATTTCTTGTAACTCACATTTTCTATATTCTTTGTTTGATGTGGCATACTCTACACATTCTGCTTCCTGAAAAGGGGAGCACAGTGTGTAAATTTTTTTATTTTTTGGTACTGGTGATTGAATGCTGCACCTTGCGCTTGCAAGGCAGATGGCGGAACCACTGAGCTAAATCCCCAGCCCTGTGTGTAAATTTTTTGATCTGGGATTTTTTTTTTTTTTTTTTTGAGACAGTGTCTCATTACGTTGCTGAGCTGGCTCAAGTGATCTTCCTGTCCCAGCCTCCCAAGAGCTGAGACTACAGGTGTGTGATGCTGTATTAGGTTTAGGTCCTGGATACTTGAAAGTGCCTGAAAGGTTGGTGGTGCTTTTCCTTCGTATTTTTAAAGGCATTGATACACAGTCTTCCTTTCTTCTATTATAGCTTTGATTTTTGCAGACTTCTGTTACTGGTTCCCTTATTAAAAACACCTTTCTATTTATGTTTTATGCATGTAGTTTCTTTTATGGCTCAGAGGTAATTAACAGCATAGCATCTCTGTTGTTGCTAAAGTTTTCTCTGAAAATGGGTTCTGTCTTTGTTATCTTTGTCCCCCCCCACCCCGGTTTCTTTTCTGTAAGAGGCTCTACCCAGGTTATCTAGTAAGCCTTTGTTCTCTGCTAATATTTAAGAGTTGGTACTAAAAAGTCACTTTGAAGTTCTGATCACGAGTCTGGTGACTTTGGGATTTATTGTGAAATGTCAAACTTTCAGGTCTTCATTATTGAGCTAGTTGGATTTCTTAGAAAGGTATCTTTTATAGCCCTTGCTGAGAGGTTTAGAGCAGAGACAGCATTCTGTAACTTCAGTGAGGAATGAAGAATGGACACCTCAACATTTCATATGGACTAATCTAACCTATTTTCAACATGGCATCTGTTATGGTTTGAGTGTGTTGTCCATGTCCCACCAAGGTTTGGGTTAAAGGTGTGGTCTCCAGTGAGGTGATGTTAAGAGGGCCTAGTGGGAGGCTGCTGTGTCATTGGGGGCTCTGCTTTCAGAAGGAATAAGGTAGTTCTTATGGGAATTTGATTGTTACAGAACAACCCTCCCTGCATGCTCTGTCTTTGTATCTCACCATATTAGTGATACCAGCCTCTCTCTGGCAGTATTGGGGACTGGACCTTTGTACTGAGCTAAACTGCCAGTTTGTTACTGCTGGGATTATAGGCGTATATTACTGTATTTGGCAGATCTCTTTTAGAATGGGAGCCTACTTCTGTGATCCATCTACCATGAGGTCTTTACCAGAGGTGAGCTACAGCATTCTCATGCTTTCAACCTCCAAAACTGTGAGATAAATTAACTTCTTTTCTTTACACATTCCCCACCCTGAAGTTTGGATTGAAAATACTGGGATTGATATAGTATCCATATGTTCAGCTATGCCAGTACTCCCCAGTCCAGAGGCACTTTACTCTGTACTCTTCAGGGAATAAAGTACTTTTTTTTTGTACTGGGGATCCAACTCAGGACCTTGCACTTTTGAGGAAGGCACTGTACCACTGAGCTAAATCCTCGGCACCTAAAGCACCATTTTTACATTAGGGAGAGGACATGATCTGGAGATCAACTGTTTCTTTAAACAAAATTTCTATAAACTCTCCTGTTTGTTAGCACTATCTTTATCTTGTTCCTATTTCTAAGGTTCATGATACCCCCAAGTTCTGAATGTTTAGAGGTTTTGTTGAATTTATCTGGTTACTTGTGATTTTTCTGTCTACTAGCTTAGAATTCAGGCATTATGCTAAATTTATCTGCTTTTGGTGTTCCAAACCTTATCTCTTCACCTACTTCACTACTGTGAGTATTCCGCAGTAACAATTTTACTGGCATTTTAGTGGGGTTTCAAAGAGGGAAGAAAAGTACTATGTATGGTTAAATTGTTATCTTCACTCAGAAATGTAATCACTCATTATAGGTACTTTGTCATTATAGCACTGTTAGAGCACCATCTATAGTTATATAATCAATCACAGAATATAAAACCAAGAGCACTAACTGGTAACAGGGAAGATTTTTTTAAAGTCACTATTTCATGGTACCATACAGTTCAAGAGAAGAATCAAGGATATACTTGGCTCATTTCACATTTGTAGGTCTAAAACCATATTAAGAACCATAAAGGGTCTGAAACCATAGTGAGAACCGGCATATATTTTATAGTTTTGAAAAATCTCTTTTGGGTAAGAAGATAACTAAGTTATGACTGCTAATTGTTTGCAAGTAAGTCACACTAAGATCTTTGTGTACTTTTTCTGAGAAAGATAATTATAACAATTTATAACATGTAATAACTGGCAAAATTCCTTTGAGGAATACATTTTATAAACTGTACCAAGTTGATGTTTAGGGTTCTCACTAAAGAACAGAAAGAATATTTATTGGATTTAATCACTATGAGATAATAGTTGGGTCACAGTGAGTTCCATTTGCATTGTATCTATTTCCAGAGTTATAAAAGTGGCAAAATGTTGCCTCATTTTTCAACAAGTCCTGATCATGTGAAAAAACTTGAAAAGATAGATCTCATAAGCTGAGAAATAATCTTAAACTGGTTAAATAAATGTGTTACTATCTAGTGAATCTCCTGGCATCTTAAAATTCCATAACAATCTAAAAAAACAAAGCAAATCTTGATTTTGCAAGGACCTAATAGCACTGAAGTGTGAGGCAACTCATTTTAGTAAGAAATAGAAACTGAAGTAATTTAGCTACTTGTATTTTCAGTTAAGAACTAAGATGAGCAAGTCTATGCGGTAAATCAAACTAAAGCATATACTTCAGTTCTTTGAATAGCTCATAAGGGGAAAAGAAAGCTAGAATTTAAGGAGATAAGACACGCTACCCTCAGTTTGCCAAAGGGACATGATAACAGCCTTTAAATATATGAAAAATGTGGTAGATGAATCAAATATAATTCTGTGAGACTGAGAGAACACAAAGATCAATGTATAAAAGAGAGGTGCTTTTAGGTGTAGATCTAGGAAAATGAAACAGGCTGCTTCTGTGGTTAGTTACTAGTCCCTGAGAATTTAGAAGCATGAGCTGTCTGGATAGTTAAACACCTATATAGGACATATTTAGGTGGATTTTTTGTGGGGGCGGGTTTGAGATAGGATTTTGCTTTACAGGTTAGGCTTAAAATCACTATGTATCCCAGGCAGGCCTTGAACTCCCAGTGATGCTCCTGCCTCAGCCTCCTCAAAGCTGGGATTACAGGTGTGTACCACCATACCTGGCTAGAATTTTCTTACTCTATATGCTGTATACTCTAAATTTTCTTCCAATGTAAGTTTTCCATTTTTTTCCTTAGAAAATAACATCTTCTTAGAAGATAACATCTTCTCAGAGTCTAAAAGTAGTGAATATTCGTACAAGAAAATTAGAAAACAGTGTATGGTAGAAGAAATAATTACCTATAAAGAATCAGTGTTTAATTTTTGCTGTATTTACCATCAGTTTTCAAAGGATGGTTATATCAGTGGTAAATTGTATTTGTACAATTATGATACAAATAAGATTATCTCTTCCTCTTGTCTTTGGGCTAGATAAAATTAAACTGTGGACCAGTGATGTCTTTTTTTTAATCCCTGATGTACACTTCTATAGGCTATTCAAGAAGATAGGTATAGGAAACTCCATTACTGCTTAGGGAGTAACTAAATGTCTATTCCTTTGTATATTAATTATCCAACTTTTTGCATATTCTCTGCTACATAGGCACTGGCTTGCCCTCAGGCATTACAAAGGTGAATGAAATAACTGCTGGAGATGACAAAGACCAAGAGACAGAATGTGCAAAAAGCATAATAGGAATAATATTTACTTAGAGTCTGTCCACAAAAAACAACCTACCCCAAAGCATTTTCTATATCTATCCCTGCTGGGTGGGACCACGCACAGGGAAGACTCAAGATCTTAACTATATACAGTACTTTACACAGCACTTGTCACACTTCAGTAAGTGTATTACTTTTTTCATGAAACTCCTTTTTCAAATGTCTTTCATAAGCCAGAAACTTGTTCTGTAAGGTGCTGCCTATTAAGTTTTCTTAAATATGAGTTTTATTTGGTATTTCTTGAAATGACTGGAAGAACACAATGAAATCATCTGGTCTGGGATATTTCTTTTTCAGAAGGGTTTAAACTATGAATTTAATTTTTTTAGTTGATATAAGAATATTCAGGTTTTTTAATTTCTTCTTGGACAAGTTTTATTGTGTTCTTAGAGGAAACTGTTCTATTTCAGTTAAGACATATTTATGTGTGTGTATGTGTGTATATATATGTGTGTTATCTATAGTATTCTTTTATTATCTTTTGAGTATCTAATTCCTGTGAGTACTCTTTATTGATTTGTGGATTATTTAGAAGTATGTATTTTAGTTTCCAAGTATGTGGACATCTGCCAGTTACTTTTCTCTTACTGATTTTTATATTAATTCCATTTTGGTCAGAGAACATACTTTTTTATTTTTTAAAGCAGCTATTCTGAAATATATTTCATATATATGACTCTTCTATTTAAAACATACATTTTTTTTAGCATATTCACAGAATTGTGTAACCATCACTACAGCTAATTTCATCATCTCCAAAAAATGTTCCATTAGCACTCATTTCTTATTGCTCCATGGACCCCCGCATGGACTACTCTACTTTCTGTAAATCTGCCTGTTTTGGACAATAAATATGCAGTCATGCATTGCTTAACAAGAATCCATTCTGGGAAATGTGTTACCAGGCAATGTCATTGTTGTGTGAACGTCACAGTATATACTTTAAGAAGGTTGTCATGTCATTAGGTAACATAATCTTATGAGACCACTGTCATGTACAAGGCCTTTTGTTCACTGAAATGTCATTATGCAGCACATAATTATAAATGAACTCATTCAATACACGATGCTTCCATTTGGCATCTTTTCCTTCACATAACATTTTCCAGATTCAACTATCTTGCCAAGTTTGGTGGATAATGTCTACAATTCCAGCCACTTGGGAGGCTAAGGCAGGAAGATCACAATTTTGAGCCCAGCCTGGGCAACTTAGTAAGACTATCTCAAAAATAAAATTTTAAAAAGATCTAGGGATGTAGTTCAGTGATAGAGTGCTTTCCTAGTATGCCCTGGGTTGAAGTCTCAGTGATACCAAGGGAAAAAAAAGTCAATCCCCTTTAACATGCCAATTCCTCTTTTCTGGGAATTTATTCTGTAGAAAAAATAATGGATGTTCCAACTATTCAATTGGATATTGGAGGATATTTAGAAGAACATTCCATGAAAAGTATATGTTAATTAAGATTTAATACAAACAGGGTGGGGATGGTGGTGATACATGCCTGTAATCCCAGCTATTCAGAAGGCTGAGGTTGGAGAATGGCAAATTTGTGGTTAGTGGTGTAGATCAATGAGACTGGCTCAAAAAATGAAAAGGGGCTGGGATGTAGCTTAGTGGTAGAATGCCTCTGACCACAATAGCTAGTACTGCTGCCCCTCCCCCAAAAGGGTGTTTTTGTTTTTTTTCTTCTCTGGGTGTTAGAATTACTAGTACTAAAATTATTTTCTTCTCATCCATATTTTCTAAGTTACCTATAATGGGCAATAAATTACTACTTTGAAATGGAAAAGTCACCTAAAAATGTAACAAGGTGCTCTAAGAAATAATAGCTATTTTTCTTTCTTCCTTGATTTATAAACAATAATCCAACATTAAGATAACTTTTTTGCAACATTTAGATAATAATTTGGAACCAGCTGAGTCAGTTACACCTGCCAGCAGTCTCAAGGACTGCATGCCCTGCCTTCTTTTGGTACTCACCACAAACTATATATAGAGAACTTTTTGTTACACAAGCTAGGGATAAAAAGATGGGAGAGACCTAGAGATTTGGCTTAAATAAGAGTCAGAATAGTCTAGAGAAAGAGATATGGAAATTCACAGCTAAATATCAATTATGTTTGAAACTGCCAAGGGAAGGAACAGATGATTTCAAGTAGGAGAATAAGGACATGATTTTGATCACTAGTCACACACAATTTACTTTTTTCTCCCCCAATTTACTACTAAACCATTAAGATCATAAAAGAATTGAAATGTACTGTATCTATTTCCCTATTCTAAATTAATGTTTACTAATTTTCCTGCAGGCCAGCTCATGTGCCACTTCACCGGGTTTCTGTGGGGAAGAACACTTCTCCTGATATGCTGTGATTGGATTCTGTGCCCATTTCCTTTCCTACCTTGACAGCTAGCTCTAAGAAGGCAGAAACTACATTTAGGTCTAACCTATCCTAGTATCCCTCCATTGAATCGGTTTTACTAGGTATGTCGGTTGTTTAATATCCTGGCAAAGAAAATGTACAAGTCTTACCTGGTAGGGTTCCTTTTGTCTTCCTCAGAGATCAAAAACCAAACAAAATCTGCATAGCTCATTCTTCCCTCTTTCTGCACAGTTTTTCCCCTGAAGAAAACACATAGTTACAATATTTCCTAAGCAATTAATAAAGTAACTTTGGATTTTAAAAATGCAGTTTAAAAATCAGAATGAAGGAATATTTCATAAAGGACACCCTTCTGGGCCTATCTTATTTTTAAAGGCCTACATAGTAAAATGAAAAAACGTGCAAATATGAAGAAAATAAATCTGCAAATGAGTGTAATCAAACATTGTTTCCTTTACTGATATGTAAAATACTCATATTAAAGAATTACTGTCTTGAATTAGCCATAATTGTTCATTTTGTAAGGTGTCATTTGACCCAGAAGCAGTGCCTAATTATGCAGAAAGCCTTGCTCAAATGGCAGTGCTATGGGATCACATACACAGTGATATCTTGGTTGTCAAATTCAAATTGTCCCAACTTTGTGTTTGAACACCAAAAAGTTCAATAACTAAACAAAATTTTCCCATATTAAATAACAGAAAACCAAATAACTAGTTCTGAAGGCCAATAATTATAATATAATTATACTTATATTTTTCCAGGACTTTAACAAATTTTGCAATGATTTCTTTCTTTAACTGTACAATGGGTCTCACAGTTTTCCTCTCAGCTTACTGCTGTATCTCTTTCTATGGAGCCATGGTTACAATATTTTATGCAAATAAAGCACCCAAAACTTCAGAGTAACAAATGTTTTAATGCACTAATATCAGCACTGTGTGTTGTCTGGGCAAGAACAGCACTTAAAATTGTTATCATTTGCATCTGCTGTGAGATGCTATGCGTGACTCACTTTCTACTGTATAGGATTTTTTAAGTTGTATTTTTGGTTTGAATATGGAGCAAAGCTACATTAAGCAGATTTTTTTCAAACTTTTCTGTTTGAGTAGTGGAAAGTTCAAGCTTGGAGATGTTCAACAACCTATGTATCACTGTAGTTCATTTTAAAATCAGGTTTTAAACTTGTACTTACCTTGTTACTGCCCCAGAGAATATTCTTTCAATTATTCTGTTTGATGACGCTAAATGCAAATAAGAAATTACAAAACTAGTTACAAACATTCCTTACTATATCTGGCAGATTTATTTTCATTTGCTACAAGCTAACCCATAACAACCTTCTTTGATAAGAATATGAGTGGGTCTTAATTATGTAGTATTTATACTTTTAGAAGAATAAAGTAGCTTCCTAGCTATCGATTAGTAATGTTAAAAAAGAACAAGCACTTTATTTTCATCTTTTCATTCTCATAAACTCAATTAAAGCTGAAAAAAAAAGAACAAGCAAATGAATGTGCTGATATCTCTGTACTTAGACGGTTGAGCTCTGAGTTTATTGTGAACATCCTGATAACTAAGACAGAAAAATGTATATACTTTGTATTGATCTTGTTACTCAGTAAGACAAATTTTCCTCTAAAACAAAACAAATTTTATCCTAATATTAAATTCAAGGGGGAACTGACTGTGCAGCTCTTAAAACAATATAAAATCAAACAATAAAAAGAGAATACTTTCAAGTAGTTTTAGAAAAGATACCAAAACATAGCATAGACTACTATTCCTTATTCTCATTTTATGACTCTAGAATATAACATAAAATTTTTAGAAATTCCATCAGTAAATTTTATTTACAGACAGATACAATTATATCTTTAGCCAGTATGTTCCTTTTTTAAAATAAATCCTACAGAACATATCACAGTGTACCTTAGTGTGAATTCGAAATAGCCAAAGGCATTAAAGGAAAAAATACCCCCAAAAAAACCAAAAAAGAGAGATGCCTATGGATAAAAGATCTGTTCTTCAAAAAGTACCCCAGGCAGTGGCATGCACATTACAATTTCTGAACCAGCAGAGAAATCATTAGGGAGTGAGCAGCTATCAGCATCTAATTCTTCTACATGGAGTTACATACAATCAACATAAAGGATAATAAGTTTGGCTGAAGGAAGTTAGGAATATGTGTGTCAGGAAAGCCATCCCTAGCTACACACCAAAGCTTATATAAAGATGCTCCATACTTTTTGGGTACTGGTTTATGGGGTTCATTTTGTACTACCTAGAAAAAAGAGGGCTTGATATCGGAAAGGTAAAGGTATTTAACCACAAACCTAACATCTTTTTTTTCTTTTTTTTTTTTTGAAACAGGGTCTCACTATGTAGTTGAGACTGACCTGGAACTCACTGCGTAGCCCAGGCTGGTCTCGAACTCACAGCGATCCTCCTTCCTCAGCCTCCTGAGTGCTGGGATTCGTGTGCCACCATGCCCAGCTTCTAACATCTTTTTAAAAAAGGCTTTTTAAAGCTTTGGAAGCTTTTAGCTTCTTAAAACTGAAGATCATGTTATTCCATGTTGCATCATTAAGCAGAGGTTAGTAATGAATAATTATATAGAGTTTAGTCACCCTTTTATTTAGGTAGGCCTGGACACCTGCTTCTCTGGATCCCATTAACACGGGTCTAGTGAGTGGCTATGTGAGTATATACCATATTTGGAGACTTGGAGGCTGGCTCATGTACAGATATCTGTTCATGGGTAATGGGAAGGTACATAACTAATAAGGCTGACCTGATATTCTTACGAATATATACATCTTTACACTATTCTGGTGATGAGAAGATTATGAGTATTTTAAGGGAAGTAATAGTACTAACATATTTGTCAAATTAGAACATTGGAATATTCTCTTTAGTGTCTGTGTGGCACCTGAGAATTTGAGAGAACTGTTTCTTAAATATGCAAAGCTCTAGGAAACATGACATCATATACAAGGAGCCTTTTCTCAAGACATGTATCAGTCACAGATATACAAAATGAAAAATTCAGGGTATTCATTTAAGATTTATAGTTTACAAAGGTAAAGTCTAATTTTTAAAATGCCAAGAAGACATTTAACAGGAACAATCTTATGGCAATAGAATGACTCAGTGTTTCTTGGTGGCTGGTTAACCATATTAAATCAGTTCACAATAAGTTCTAGCTTTACTATAAAGAAAAGAGAAGCAAAAAATCATAATACCATGTGATATGTAATTTTTTGTTTTCTTTTTTTTTTTTTGGTACCAGGGATTGAACTCGGGTCTTTGCGCTTGCAAGGCAGGCCACCAAACCGCTGAGCTAAACCCCCAGCCCATTTTTTTGTTTTCTTAGAAAAGAAAGCCTATGAAATTCATCTCTAGAGAAAAGTTTCTGGAATTAAATCCAAGAAGTATTTATGAGTCCTTCAAAATAAAACTTGGCAAAATAGAGACATTTTCATCAATGGATTTTTATGAAAATACTATTAAATGAGAAAGTCTATAAAAGGTGCATATTTTCACTCATATAGATTTATACAGGTGCACATCTTATTCAATTCATCACCAGGGTTAGGGACTTAGCTCAGTGGTTCCTCCACCGGCCTTGCAAGTACAAAGTCCTGAGTTTGACCCCTGGTACCAAAAAGCAAGACAAAACAAACAATTCATCATCATAAAAATCACCACAAAGACTTGCTGCTTTCTCAAAACTAATATTGTGATTACTTACTTACCTCCAAATCCCTTCTACATCTGGCCTCTAAATAAATTAATTAAATTATGTTTGATAATTCCCACTTAAAAGTTCTTGGCTTTTTAAAAATATCTAATTAGGTATATTATCTAAGAAATGATAATTTTTCATGAGTGGAGATAATTTATATCATTCTGTAAAATGCTTAAGTCTTATCATCTATAGAATCACTCACCCTGGTCATTGTATCGAGAGAGATCTGCCTGGCTGATGTACAAGTCATGATCACCATCTAGTTCCCAAAATTTACAATAAATAACATAAAAATGTTCATAGGAGAAGTAATCTGTGATTTGATTTATATCTTCCTCTTCTTCCAAAAGGGCTAGAGTCTGAAATAGTATGAATAAAGAATTAATTTTAAAATTATGAACTACCAGCAACTAGCTTTGGCCACTGTAGAGTCTAGCAAATTTTTGTTTTAAACTGAATTAACAATGTTGTTCTTCATATATAACCACCTACTATCTTTTTTTTCCCCATTAAGTTTATTGGTACATTTAAGTTAAACAGTACAGTTACATTCATCACTGGGATCTTGTACCTTTACATGATGTATCTTGGTTCTTATTTTTTCTCCCTTCCCCTTCCCTCCCAACCACCTACTATCTTTAACTGATTCATCTAAAGCTTTCTTTTGGTGAGGCAATAGGCAGTTAGAACAGAAAACAGGGAAAAGACTTCAATTTGAAGAAGGCCTTGCGGGGACTTCAAATCTGATGAAGAGGATGAGATTGGCCCCTTAGTGCTGGAGAGGACATAATAGCAGAGAAAGGGCAGCATGGGGAAGACCATCACCAAGAGGGCTACAAATGTCAAAGTCCCTACTAACAAGCATAGAACAATTAAATGACAGGCTCAATTACAGAACCATAAACTAACCCTGCTCTTAACTTTTCAGTTATGTGAGCAATATTAAGATTGTGTATCCACATATAAGCTTCGTAATGTTAACTTTTGTAATGAAATCAAGTTTACCTATATATAGCATTGTAGTAATGCATGGGGGTCTGGGGTAAAAGGCCTGGTGTGTGGAGCTGAAGGGCCCTGACCTGGAAGTAAAATAAGTCTCCCCTCAGTCACTATGCATTCCTAGGCAAAATACCAGAACCAATGGTTTTGAACCCACAACTCTACAGTCAGCCAAATTATCATATAAATGGGTAGATAAATGAAGGCACTTTTAGAAATAATTCAGAAAGCAATATACAAGAAATTTTAAGAAAATTTAGGAAACAGAAAAAAGTGAGATGTCAGAAAGAAGGACAGATATCAATAACAATAAGATAAATGAGCTAAATTTCCTTACTAAAAGAATTTTGAAAGCCGGGCGTGGTGGCACACGCCTGTAATCCCAGCACTCAAGAGGGTGAGGCAGGAGGATTTATTTTGAAAGCCGGGCGTGGTGGCACACGCCTGTAATCCCAGCACTCAAGAGGGTGAGGCAGGATTGCTGTGAGTTTGAGACCAGCCTGGGCTACACAGTGAGTTGCAGGTCAGTCTCAACTTCATAGTGAGACTCTGTCTCAAAACGCCCCCGCCAAAAAAAACCCCAAAAAACAAACAAAGAATTTTAATTAAGTATATATAAATCAAGGCCCCAAGCTGGGCATGACAGCACATTCCTGTAATCCCAACTCTTGGCAGGCTGAGGCAGGATTGATATGAGTTCGAGGCCAGCTTGGGCTACATAGCAAGATCCTGTCTCAGAAAACAAAACAAACAAAAAACCCCCCAAAAGCCAAGGCCCTAAAACAGATGTAGATATGTACTGTCTATAGAGATATGCATAAAATAAAAAGGGTAATAAAAACGAATGCAAATATATACTAGTGAAATGTTAACAAGAAGGAAAATATATATCATTATGAACAGAAAAAGGATTTTTAGGTGAAAAAGATAAAGGACAAAGAGGAGTATTTTTTTGTTTGTTTGTTTTTTTGAGACAGGGTCTCACTATGTAGTTGAGACTGACCTGGAACTCACTATGTAGCCCAAACTGGTGTCAAACTCACAGTGATCCTCCTGCCTCAGCCTCCCAAGTGCTGGGATTACAGGCATACGCCACAATGCCCAGCTAAAGAGAAGTATTTTGTAATGCAAATATATTCCTCTGATTAAAAAACTTAAAAAAAAGTACACATTGGGAAAACAAAATCTGTTGGCAAATTGGATACAGGATAAATTATTAGTTATGGTAAATCTGCTTACTGGAAGATTATGCAGTCAGTGAAAATTACAGTCTATATACAAAGGAATACCATGATGGAAACCAGGATGCAGTAATTGCAAAATATAGGATACACAATTAAACACACCAAGAACTATGTAGAATCCTAAACTCATATATGCATATGAAAGCATCTAGACTAGAACAGTACATAAAAAATGATACCAGTACTATTAGGGTAGTAAAATACAGCTTTTCTTCTAAAATATTTGATGTATATAATGCAGAATACATTTAACAAAATATATCTTTAGAAGCAAGGAACCATCATTTTCATTGTCATAAAATGAACAAGAGAAATGATTTATAGTGTTGGTGAGCATGTAGGTAAAGTATGAACTAGGCAGGATCTATCTAATTAAAACTGCACATATCATTTGGTCCAAGATATTTCCACTAGTGATCTATTTTATCACTTTTTTTCAGTGGTCTATTTTTGAGACACTTTATGCATGTACATATAAGAGGAAAGTACCAAGACATTTGCTATCACTGTAGTAGAAACAAATCTGAAAATGACCTGAATATCAATAGAAGAATATGTAATTACAATAAACATTTATATAGGAGTTAGAAGAATGAAACAGATTTATGTGAATGGGAATGAAAAGAACCCAACACAAAGTTAAGTGAAAAAGCGAAGTAAAAAAGTGAAATTAACAAAATAGTAAGTATAAGCCCATGTATTAAAAAAAATACCTTCAAAATGTCAGCCTCAAAAAAACTATATATTACATGTATGCATTTATCAGGGAATAAAACTACAGATAATATAGGTTCCCTCTGCAAAAGGGTGTGAAATAGATAAGAGATAACAAGTCCTGCTTATTTGTTACTTTACATAAATCACATTGTTTGAATGTTTTATGAGTATTTGTTCATGCACTAAGAGAAGTACTAAGAGAGGGGCAGGGAAGAAAAGAGAAAATAAGTCATTATCTTGGAAGAGAACATTTCAGATATACCTTGAGTTCAGCTACCTTCTTGCTGTATGCTCTTATATAAGTCATTCAATTATACTTGAGCCTAAAATTTTATCATCAGTAAAAACAAACATTACAATAATGAGTCAAAAACTACAAATGAAAATGTGCTTCAGGAATATGAGGAATTATTAATATTATTGAGCTGTTATGGAATTACTGCCATCTTAACCCAGCCCATAATACCCACTGAGAACCTAGGTCGGTCAATAAATACCAATAATGACTGTGGTGATGACTGTTCATGTTAGAATAGCAAAATGTTTGTATCTCTACCATAGACCGCTAATTTTGCAGTCTTCATTACCATGCCTGTCTCCGATGAAGATAGGAAAAGATAAAGAGTAACAAGGTCTTTTAATAGCCTAAGCTTCATTTAGTAAGTTTTATTTAAAATAAAGCATTTCTTTTCCTTTCAAGTATGAACAATTTCACTTCTGGTTTACAGATGTTTAATCAGACATGAAGATTACCTCAGTGAAAAGCTCCCACTAGTGGTCAGTACTTTTTCATATGCTGAAATAAAAAATTAAAAGCATCGTAGTCTTTCTTTTTCTTTTCTTGTTTTGTTTTTTGAGACAGGGTCTCACTATGTAGTTGAGACTGACCTGGAACTCAGGCTGGTTTCGAACTCATAGTGATCCTCCTGCCTCAGCCTCTGGAGTGCTGGGATTACAGGCATGTGCCACCATGCCCAACTACTGTATTCTTTCTTAAAAAGAAATTTTTAGTATTCTTCTCTAGCAGTAGCTGGATAAAGAGTCATTGCTGAGAGATAAACCCGTATACTTCCATTTATTTTGCAAAGCCATTCCCAATCTGGTCTCAGACCAACCTTCTGACCTATCCCTGGTCACTCTTCCAGGGCTTTTGGCTACATAATACTATTTGGCAGTTCTTCAGCACAACACTTTCATGTGTCTGGGTGTTGCTTATGCTGCTTCTTCTATCTGGGATCCCCTTTCTATTAGTTTTTTAAAAATTTTTGGTGAACTCCTCATACCCTCCAAGGTCAAGTTTACGCCTTCTGTTGAGGACTCCTCTATACCTTTTATACATGTCTGCAGAATTCATCAAATCTGGTGTGGCTGTCTGTGCATTTCTCTCTTTTGTTCACAGTGTTGCCCTCAGGCAGAGATTCCTTGTTATCCCTCCTCCTCTTGCCAGTATCTGGGGTCTCATTAGGGACATTTGATACAAAATGACAAAGTAGTGACAATGCTTTGCATAGTGTAAGCAAATATTTGATAAATGAAGCAAAAGACTTTATATATATCTATATATTTAAATATATAGATATATATATCTTTATGAGGCATACTTGCAAAAAGTTGCTTTTTCTTATCTCTGTTGAAGTAATTTTTCCACTCCAAGATCTGTTGACTGTGTAGAATATTCTCTGAATAACCTAGTTCCAAAAAGAAAACAAAACCAAATAAAGATGTTAATGGTCTCTATTACTTTACCAAAGGTTACTTTATAAATATATTTAAACAGTTTTGACTTTCTGATGTCAAATGTAATATGTAAAACATTAAAAAATATTTTAAACTTACACTTATATATTATGAATTTATTGCTGTACTTGAGAAAGAAAAAAATCTCTACTGTCAAATCTTCATTTCTCAGTTGCTTATACTTTTTTTTCTTTCTCACTTATACAGTGATGCGTGATTCAAGTAGTCTTTATTGGGCTGGATGTTTTGGGAGGGCAAATAAGGGGAGAAACATCTGTTGAGTTGGCTTAGTGATTGATCAGACAGTCGGAAGGATGGCTGTCATGATACAAGAAGGCATTATTCTATTTATTAAAGCTTTATTGAATATTGTAGTTTTGAAGACTTTCGGTTTTCTAGACTGTATGAAAGCTCAGATTCATTTGAGATTAATTTATATCACCTTTATTTGGGTATGAATATCTCTGTCATTGGCTGGTGTTTTTGGAAAACATTTATTAATAAATTTTAGATATACATAATGATAACATTCATCACAGGGTATTTGTACCTCTACATGATATATCTTGCTTCTTTTTTTACCACTCCCCTTCCCTTTCTTTGGCCCCTCTTCCCCTCATTTACAAAAGCTTTGTTTCTATTTTTCCTTCTGTTCTTTTTTCTTGTCCCTTCTTTCCTTTCCCCCTCCTCCCTCCCTTGTTCCCCTTTTTATCTGAACATTTTCTTCCCATTTCTCATTATCTATTATACATTTTGGTCCTTATTTCCACTTTCAGTTTCTCATACCAGAGAAACAATGCAGTGTTTATCTGTTTTGCTTTTTTTGTGGGGGCGGGGATCAAATTTGGGCCCTTGTGCTTTCGAGGCAGGTGGCAGAACCACTAAGCCAAATCCCTGGCTACAACGCAGTATTTAAACATGTGTGTCCAACTTATCTCACTTAAGAGCATGGTCTCAAGGTGCATCCATTTATCTATAAATGTCTGGTGCTTATCTTTGTTTATGCCAGACTAGTACTCCACTGGATTAAGAAAATACATCTTCTTTATCCATTCATTGATTGATGGGCATTTGATGTGTTTCCAAGATTAAGCTATTACAAACTGTGCCACTATAAACATGGATGTGCATATATGGCTGTGATAGGATGCTTTTAACTCTTTCAGGAAGATACCAAGAAGGGGAATAGCTGGGTCAAACAGAACGTCTAGTTTTAGTTTTTTGAGAAATCTCCACACTGATTTCCACAGTGGCTGCACCAGTCTAGACTCCCACCAACAGTGGAGAAGGGTTCCTTCTTCCCCACCCCCTATCATTTGCTATTGGTTGATTTCATGATATCAGCTGTTCTTCCTGGAGTGAGATGGAATCTCAGTGTTGTCTTAATTTGCATCTCTTGAATGACAAGTGATGTTGAACATTTTTTCATATATTTATTTGCTATTTCTACTTCATCTGAGAAGTGTCTGTTCATTTCAGATGCCCAGTTTTGGACTGGGCCTTTAAATTTGGGGATCTGATTTTTTTTTTAGTTCTTTATGTATTCTAGACATTAGTCCTTTGTCTGAGGTGGCTAGTGTTTTAATGAGTTTAAGAGAAGTGAAACTCTGGAAAAAGACCAGAGAGAGAGGATGGAAAGAAGACAGGAAACAAATGTGTCTAGATTGGGGATGTGTATGCTGCAGTGCAGGGGAGGACAGGATGTAATTCTGGAGGTAGGAACTCAATCAATGCATTCTTAACAATTTTACCCACTCACTTTTTTCCTATAAACAGGAAATAGTAGTGATACTCTGGTTTTTATTCTGATAGTCTTATAATACAGAAATCTTGTTGATTTTATCTTGGAAGAGATTAGAATCTTCTTTTCAAGCTGTCTTGATGCAAGGAGAACAAATGGAAGATATCTGTACATATTCCAAAAAGTAGGCCTTAATGAGGGACTAAACCACTATTCTGTTTCTGGATTCGTCAGCAAATGAGTGATTCTCAATGAAACAGAGGGAAGCCATCCACAGGATGAAGGTCCAGTTTCTGCTGCCCAGCACTCACCACCCTTGCTACCTGTGCTAACTCCTGATTTTTCAGAATGGAGCTCAAATACCACACTTTAGAGGAAGGCTCAAAACAAAACTCTTGTCTTCTGTGCTTCTTCTGCCTCTGAGCCTCCTTTAGACATCCCCATGCTTACGTTATGTTCTAAACCCTGGGGTACCTGATTGTGGTCAACTCCAAACTCTAAGAGACCTGGTCTTTTTTTTTTTTTTTTTTCCTCCAATACTGTGAATTGAACCCAGTGCCTTTGCACTAAGCTACATTCCCAGTCCTTTATTTTGAGACAGGTCTTGCTAAATTGCTAAATTGCGCAATTTAGAACTCGGGATCCTCTTGTCTTAGTCTTGTACAGTGCTGGCACTAGAAGCATATAACATTATGCCTGGCCAAGCGTTGTCTTTCTTGATTTACCTTCAGTCATTGTTTAATCTGATGCTTTGCATATAATCAGATCAATAATGGCTTGACAAAATAAGGAGGTTTGGATACTGTGTAACAAAGACTTTTGTGTTATCTCTATAATAGAAAAATATGGATAGGTTTCATAGTTAGCTGAACAAGTCTATTCAGAGTTTCGAATAGCAGATGGATATCAACCCGCAAAAGAGGCATGTGATATTTCATATTACATACATAAATTGGTATTTGTCTACGATTTATAGATAAAGTGCATATAAAATGTACAAAAACAAAACAGGGAAGGGAAATTACATTACAAATGACTGTGAAAGATACTTCTAATGTAGCAATATTTAACCCTGAGGAAAAAAATAAGAGTGGAATGCAGATGTGATCATCTTCTGAATAGCTATCAGGTAGAAGCAACCTCTGACTTGTACTATTTGAGATCAGTGGACAATTAGAATCATGGAATGGAAGTGCCCTTGTACTCAAATGCTTTGACATAAGGAAGCCTATAAAGCACTGGATTTAGCCAGGTGTGGTGGCGCATGCCTGTAATCCCAGCACTTAGAAGGCTGAGTCAGGAGGATCTGTGAGTTCG